TCAAACACCCTCGCACCGAGTGCACGCTGGCCTTCTTTTCACACACACACACACACACACACACACACACACACACACACACACACACACACACACACACACACACACACACACACACACACACACACNACACACACACACACACACCACTCCTACAAGCTGTCCCTGAACACACACACAGCACAGCCGACCAAAGGTACACTCGGAGCGTCCACTTTTATCAATTTCTCACTCATGGCTTTCTGACTGATATCTTACTATAAAACACACACATCAATTTGTGTTGATGACAGGATGTAGGAAGATAGATGTTGGTCTCTCTACACGTTTATGCTCTCATAGATTATGATTTTCAAGAAGTCTCATTAAGAAGTGGCTGTCTGACCTCGGCCTCAGAGGGTGGTCCATCGACCGTGCGTGTGTGTGACAGACATTGTGGTCGGGTAATGAGGGTCAGGGCATCTGGAGGGGGTCTGGAGTGGGAGACAATCAATCAATTAAGGAGAAAGAAAGTGATGGAGAGAACTGACATGGAGAGGAAGAATGAAAGGAGAGAGGGAGAAGGTGCCTACATATGGTGGTTAATTAGGGAGTGGGGTGAGGTGCAATTATAGACCATACCACCCACTCTCAAACAGAAAACACACCGTAGGGTGCATGTTCATGGTACATAAGGTGTGTGTGCGTGCATGAGTGTTGAGGGCATGTGCTAATGATTTCCTGTTTAGGTTTCTGACATTTTACACTTAATTTCAACTGCAAACTGAAGTGACCTTTTATGCGATAAGACATTTAAACACAGGAGCTACATTGACCTTAGAAAGAAAGAAGTGGATGAAAACATGGCGTAGAACTAAAACTAACCTTTTTGATACATTTTTATGAATTGTTTGGTCGACAGAAAGTTGTCAAATAAGGAAAGCAGTTTTTGTGATTATTTCAAATTGTTCTTTTGTCCAACCAACAGTTCTGCTGCAGAACTGTCGTTTTGTGTCCAGCACATCGACACAGGTGTCGGCCCTTCTCGCCAAAAGCTCTAGAGCCCTGTCGCCTTTTCATGTTGACATCTTCGTCTTTTATGTGTAGCCAGAAATATTTGTATTCTTTTCCTTTCACGTGAGCAGGGAGAAGACGAGTATTCTGTCACTGAGAAGGGAGGGCAGTGATATGATAGACTGACGTTTGCAAATCAGTTTTTTGACATCAGGTTTAGAAATACAAGAAAGGCGTACTTCCTCATAGATGAGATGCTAGAGCCAGCAAATGTTGCATTATTGCATGTTTTATATATTTAATCAATTTTTTTAAATAAAAGGGACTTGATAGAGTGTATGAGTCAGTCATAGACTTCCGTGTGTCAGTAGCTTAAGGCAACACTCGAAAGTAACTGGCAGGTATGCAAAACTCTGCAGGCATGACATGCAAATACATGTATATGAGTGATGATGGTGTCTTTATCCCTGCGGCCACAGAGGTGTATGGGTGATTGTGGATGGGTTGTTATATAACTGGTCACATGAGTCTGTAGATCACATTCCTCTGTTTGTGAGTCTGGTTCAACTGGAATTCCCCATCTAAGTGTTGTGACAGAAGTGGATCTATAACCAGTTGCAAGGGAGGGATACATGTAAATAGGTATATAGAATATTGTTGTCCATGTAAACATGCTTGGCAACCTGCTCAGGTAGATTATGATACCCTATGTATGGTACATACTGTGTTACCTGACAGCTGTGTCCACACTATTTTAACATTAAAGCATTTTTGTTTGTTCTTGCACACACAAACACTATTGATAGCGTATCTTCACTCTTCTAAAGATCTGTATTTGTTACTAATGCACTTTTACATGTATGCCAAAACTGGATAGAGCTGCTATAAGCTCCTCTGGTTTGTCTCTGAGAGGACGTTTCTGCAGGAAAAGCAGCTTACAAATCCAAAATTATTAAATAATTATTAAAAGCACATACAATACGCTCTTTCATCAATCTCAGGTGAACTTGACTGTTGAATCTCAAGTGAGGCTTTAATATTGTATTAGAATTCCAGACTGGGTCCCGTACTATGATACAGTGCAGTGCAGTGTGTGGGTCTACAGTTACAGGTCTTGACATTTACCAGGTGCCATCAACACATGTGTGGTATGAATGGGTTAAACTCTGGGTTGAAATCGTATTCATTATCATGCAGGTAAAACAGGATTTGTGGGATGTGTTTCTCTGGCGAACGTGACCTTATGACCGCGATGTATCTTTCTTTTTCCCTGGTTCTCTATTCCTATGTTTTCCCTGTTGATTTACTGGACTTACTGTAAATAGCAGACGAAGCGTTTGCTGCAAAATAGCCATTGCTTCCATAATTTGTCCACCGGAATAACATTTGAAAACATTTTAATGTTGCGTAGCCAAATTAAAACTCAGCATCAAACAGAGGTACAAATGTAATTGTTCTGTTTGCAAGCTGTAAATAATACAAGTTGAATGGAAACTGGCCTGTTGAATGGATTGGTTAAATTGAATTTGCCAGAGGAATGTGCATAATGTAGCCCAAACTATTTAGTGAATGTAGCATTTACTACCCAGTAGTTTTAAACCAGGAATATGATATGCAGATGTTTCGCTGTTTATGCACTTGATAAAAAGCACAGTTATCTCTGCTTATAAGATTTTGCAGTTGGTTCTGTTTGTATCACTTTGGAAGCGGAACCATCTGGACTATTCGCAGTTTCTATTGTTTGCCGAGAATTAAACCTTGCAGACACAAGATAAACAGACACGAGTCATTGCGGCTGCAGATTTGCGAGCTTGGGTTTCACTGCCAGTTTGTGGAGAACTGTTGGGTGCTGACATTTGACATCAGGTCGCAGCCGTGAGATAATCACAGCATGAAATTGGAGTTGGACAGTTTTCCACTGGTTCCAGCGAGTAAGTACTCCTCACAAGTTCAGTCATCTACAGTAGCTGCCCAGTCCACCACACGTTTAAAGTTCTGCCGACGTTGCACCGGGTTTTTATACGAACAAATCTTTGTAACTTCATTTTTGTTGGCCCCGAGTCAAGTGTCAAATAACTCTCTGTACATTTACCAGCATGTCTGCTTCTACCCCTGACCTTTTGTTTCTTTTGATTTTTCAACACTCACCCTTTCTTCATGCTCCACTCCTCTCCATCTTCTTCGCATCCTCTCTTCTCTTCCTGATCCCAATCCTCCTGCAAACCTTTTCTGTGTTAGCAAACCTCGGAGCCTAAACCTAAGGTATGTTTAAACTTCCCCAAGAAATAATACCATGGGGACTTCTTTCAGGAATAAGTCTGACATTTTGTCTGTTGTTTGTTTGGAGAAAACTACGGGACTAATCAAATCAAGTTGTATTTATATAGCGCCTGTCGTTAAAGGCAAAGATGCAATACAGGGTGCTTAACAATAACGTTAAAACTAAGCAATACAAAGAGCAATACAATATATTGATAATATACATAAACATAGAATGAAGAATAGTATAAAATACAATAAAATAAAAAGCAAAATCTAAAACCAGCACTTTCAAAGCATAGAAATGACTTAGTTTGACATCATTGTAACTGATATTTTAATAAGGTTATACAACTAAGAATGCTTTGGGTTTGTTTTATATACAGCTGTTAATGGGTTATCCCTCCTGTTATGGCATGATTTGTAACATTCACTACAGCCCTTCATGGAGTCCTGGAAAATGTGTCTTGGCTTTAGTTCAATGACTTTATTGGAAATTAAATTGCATCATATTCATGCAGTGATTCATGTTTCAAAAAGTAAAAGCTATGGCCATTTGTACATCTGCTTTGTTCAAACCACGTGAACGCCATCCACCCCACATCACATAAGAATTAGTGAGTGTGCTCAGTGGTTCAGTGTTTGTGTGAAGCGTTCTTGTCGGCCTTTTTCTTCTGGTAGTATGTTTGGGTGGCTCGTGGGTTGCCAGACACAACCTGTCTCGCTTTTTCCATCAGATGTCGTTGATGATGCTCATGACGTGTACTTGAGTCATCTGTCGCTGTAGTAAGAAACAATCTGGAAAAGTCTGGATATATGTTTGGAGGACCAGAGTATGACCACTGTAATTACAGAGCCTGTGTGCGTGAGTGTGTGTGTGTGCCGTCATGGCATCTTGCGTATGACTACATGATGATGATGCTAATGACATGTTGCGTTATTATGTTACACACAAATGAGAACTTCATCGTGGCCTAACTGGGAGTTGTCCAGCATCAAAACAGCTGCTGAACGACAGGTGCACACAGGCACAGTCAGTCTGTCTACAATCTCATCATGATTGGGCACCTTAAAACAGCATGTTAAGCCACTGCTGTTATGAGTGACCTATTTTGCACCACACTGTCTTTCAATATGGACACAGGAGACTTCAAGATAGATTGTAGCTGCACCACAGAGTAAATTAAAACTGTCTCTAACTCAAAACTAGTTTACTTTTAATGTTCTATAGAGTGTCCCTTGAAATAATTACAAACTGAACATTTATTTTGTTCCTGCATAAGAGCAGAAGTTCATTTTTTGTTGGCATCCCTATATTGTGCTCACTAGGTCATTTGCATACAGACACATTGCAAAAAAAAGAAAAGTAGTCAGACGGGAAAGAAACATGAGCAGTCAGACAATCAGACAGGATTGTACTTTGAGGGGAAAACAAAAACTAACGTTAAAAGATTGGTTTCTGAGTTGGTATGCTCACTGCTTTCACACAGCAATGCTTTCTTACAGATATTTCAAGCATGCTTGCTTGTTTGCAACCCATAAATGACCGTCTGTCTGCGGCACCATCATATTTTGTGCTGTGGCTACTGGTTCTAAAACTGGAGGTCACTCTTTCTCTTCACTTGCATCTGTGTAATGTGTTAGGTGTGTGTGTGCGCGTGTGTGTGCGTGTGAGATGTTTACCTGTCCGTTGGATGGATCTTATATTTGTGTCCTGTTCTAACAGCTCTATTTCTGTTGTTGTCTAGGAGCCCAACAGCGGGAATCCCATCCTGGTAACCCTGAGAGTTGACCCAGATGGATTCTTCCTCTACTGGACTGGAGGGTCCTCCCTGGTAAGACACACACACACACACACACACACACACACACACACACACACACACACACACACACACACACACACACGTAGGTGTCAAAGTAGGCCAAGTATCACAAAGTAGAGGAGATCAAATCTAAATGGGCCCCTCTATAGCAGACCACAGTGGTTTTTAATGCACCATGTTAAGTGCGGATATGTATATCACACTTGTTCTCTGTTTGCTTTAACCTTACCACTTCCCCACACTCCATCTTCATCCAGCTGTTTGGTCTCATCATCCTGTCTCTTTGTGTCTTCTTGTCTCTTATTATGATTTTATCCAGTCCATTAGTTCAGCCAATATGGGTTTTATCAAGTTGTTTTCCCCCCTCTCCTTGTTCCTGCTTCTCCCATGATGTCTTTGTGGTCTTAATATCTCTCTCAATCTGTTTATCTGTCCGTATATTTCCCATTAATCCTCTCCTCCTCTTTTTGTAATCTTCTCGTGTTTATAAGCCATCAGTGTCGTAATGTTTTCGTTTTTATGCAGTGAGGCGATGTAACTAGTCAGCAGCATTTCCACATTTTGATTGTTGTTGTAGTTAGTGAAGTGCTATTAGATCTATTGAGTGTTTTATTTTGATGTATCTTGTCTTACTACATTTTAATTGTCAATCTTGAGAAATTTGCAAAGGTTTTCATGAACATCGTGCGTGCGTGTGCGTGTGTGTCAGATCGAATTACAATACATAGCAGCTCAATTAACTCCCCACCTCACACACACGCAGTCTCTCTCTTTATTTCTGGCTGTCTATTTATTCAAAAGGCACGTATGGAATGACCCGTTGATGTATGATCATATTTTGGAAGTATGTGCAGGCGGCATGTTGTGCATATTGATATATGTGGGCCAGAGCACACGTCACTCTCATTTCATATAACACACTTTAAATACTCATTTTATACTGAGGTGTGTGTGTGTGTGTGTGTGTGTGTGTGTGGTATGAAAATAATAGGCCATCAGTTGCCTGAGGTGCAATTGTGACACTGTTTCGCAGAGTCAATTGTATTTTCATTATAATTGTTAGACGTCTCTACACTCTGACTGCAAACAGCTTTATTAAGGCACATTACTGGAAACAAGAGGTTGTTCACTTGTCACATCATGTATATATGACCAGTCTGTTGGTTATAGATACAGAAAGAGAACACAGGTCATCTTTAAGAGTCCTTAAGCAATGTTTACCATTACTCCGCTCTAACATCCCCATGTTAGTGCACTCAAAAACTGTTTTAAACATGAACTCCGGAGAATGTCCTGAGAACTGGGTCCAGACAATCTCGAGAGTTTGACTTTTCTACGTCTATGGCACCGCTTTATAATCCTGAGATGTTTTAGTTTTTTCGGTTTTGTGTCTTGTGTCAGAAATGTCAACGACTGCCCCACTCGCTCAATCCCCTGTGGGATCTCCTGTTTTCTCACAGCGGCTCATTTGTACGTCATATAGTTGTTAGTAGGGGGCTAACAGGAGAAACTCAGAAGAAAGTCTGCAGCCTGTCACTCGGACATTTGCCTTCTCACATATAGCCCCTCTGGAGAATGTCAGGGATTCAGTGCATGTCTGAATGCAACTAATTTAGCGATTTTGTTGAAAACATGTCACCTTTGGACAGTGGATCCCCATTTCGGATACAGTGTGATGACAGAAATCTAGATCTATTCATAATAGTAATAAAAAGCAGGGAAATAGCAGTGACAATGCCTCCTCTGTTGCCTTAGGTGCCACAATATTTGACTTTTCTTCCACTGCTTTTCATCTTTGTTAATTTTGGCATGGCTCAGCTGGTTCATGTTCGCAATTCTAACCTCAGTAGCGGGAATGCAGCATTTGAATGTGCCACAAGACGTCCAAAGTATTTTGAAGGAAATTGTGGGTATTTTATTCAAATGCTAAAAAAGACATGCATATAGTGTATATATTGTTGCTTTAAAGTATTTTACCCTCAGGCATTACTGTGGTGTTTTTGAACTGTATTTCCCAGAGATCACTTGTCAGTCAAGCGGTGTGGCTTTTTTCTTCAGCTTCTCTGTGTACTGAGTTTCTACAATGACGCTGGTCATAATCTGGAAAGTAGACGTAGAGAAACATGTCGTCCACAAAACCTCCTTTTGACGCTTCTCTGAATCGCTGTAAGGTGAAAATATGTTCTTCCAAACAGCGGTGGCTTTAGAGCGGTATCGTGTCGAAGAAAATGGCAAGTGGACACCACTTCTCTAACAATAACTTTATTTATATAGCACCTTTCAAAAACAAAGTTACAAAGTACTTTGCAATAAGAAAAACGTAAGGCCCTCTTGGAGGATCTCTGGCAGCGTTCATGGTCATGGGGTTCATATACATTTTGACATGTGAACTGGATGAGCCAGGGTTCAAATCACTGAGCTTCCTATTTGTGAAACCCGCTTTAACCCCCTGATGCAGATCCACAGGGGTTTTTGAATTCAGCGTCGTGGCTCCCCCAGGAGATTTTTTTTTTTAACCAGAGCTGAAAAGAAAGAGGACATGGCAACACAGATACCAAGCACTCATTAATGAGAGCAGCTCGTACTGCTGGATGACAAGGGTATTCTGGATGGAACCCATTTTCTCTGAATAGAGGTGCCCAAAAATATTTGATCTCCGGTGTGGTTTTTATTTTTCGCTGCTCTTATTACTTTTAGATGAAAATGGGCTTTAATCTGAGAGTCCCTTCATTCTGTGCATGATTTGCGTCGTCCTGCTTTTCCTTAGCAATTTTTAGTATTCTAGCAAAGACGTGCAAGGATGTCCAAAACTCTGCAACCTAAAAACGTCAAAAGCACTTTTGCGACCGCACTGAACTTGAGAAAAGAGGATAGAAAGTACTGCCCACTGCAGAAGGAGGGAGAGGGACATAGTAGTGACAGGGCATTTTATATAGGACACTGATAAATATGGGTTTAAAGCTCAGCCCCTGTGGATTTGAGTTTGGAGGGACTCAGCACATGGAGGAGAAACACACTCTTTATTATAATATGTGTGTACAATTAAAACAGAAAGAAAGAAACAACTCACTTGAAAATGCATGTTCCCTCCTTTTCTCTTCCTCCATCCATCATTGGTCTATTAGCCTCATTTTTTCCCTCTCTGACTTTATTTGCATCACCTGTCTCCCTCTTCTCACCTTTTCTTTTACATTTCTTTTACTTTTCCTCTTAAATCTGGTTAATCTCACTCCCCTAGTGTATATCAATCTGGATATTCATCCTCATCCCATCCTCCCATCTATGTTCTCCCCACTCACTCATCTCCGTCTGGTTCTTGTCACCTTCTTCCCTGGCCTCACTTTGTTTAACATTTTCCTTTAAATATCTTTTTACATCTTTTCCAGTCTTTCATTTGTCTCTGTCTTATTTTTGTCAGAACAGGATTTCTCAACCTTTTCCTTAAACAGTCTTCTTCCTGCTCCTCCTCTCTCTCCCTTCCTCCACACTTCTTTCCTTTCCTTTTTTCAGTCAGTTATCTCCCCCTCAGCTTACAAGACCTCTGACGTGTCTGTGTTTGTGAGATTTTCCCATAATGCTTGAGTCATTGGCGATAACTAGCAACTGTTGCTGACATATACGCACACACACACACACACACAAACACACACACACACACACACACACACACACACACACACACACACAGAGCTGCTTCTCATCTCATGAAACCACCCAGGTTGCAGATCAATGCGGTCCATCCTGCAGGAGCTCCATTCCTCCTTATTTACAAATGATAAGAGAGAGAGAGCTGCTTTGTAAAGCTCCCATTACTCAGTGGGAACATTTGGGTCATGTTGTGGGAGATCTTACNACACACACACACACACACAGAGTGGCTTGGCAGCAAATCGATGGAGACACACCCCACCACACACCAGTCTCCACTGTTTTTCTTTTCCGCTCACTCACTGTTCTTCTTTCCCTGTCCGCTCTTTGAGATAAACTTATTGCGAACACGATCCTGTTTTTACTTAAAAGAGTTCAACTGAATCTAACTGAGCTGCACTCTTGGGATTTATAGAAGTTATAATTGGTGTTCTGCAGCCATAAATCAAGTGGGGTCCACAGGGGTTGAGAGCAATGACAGCAGGAGCCGCTAAAATAACATACTGGCCCTGTCGAGTGTTAGTGTAACATGGTTGACACTATTTGATGTAGAGACAAGGAGAGATAGTCTCTTCCACTGTGACTTCATGCAGTCTGCTCGGAGCTTTGCTTCAAGTGGTATAGCTTTATGTAAACAGTGCATATTCGCCAGTTCCCAATCTGTGAAGGTGCTCGTGTAACATAGACCCATTTGATAAAGAAGGAAAATAGAGCTTAACATACAGTCTATCTTAAAAAAGAGAAAGAATGTGGTCTTTCAGTTTGAGAGCAGGACTTTCACGTCAGTTCATGTCAGTTTTTGTAACGCATTCACTCAAAACCCTGCACTCGCACTCAAATGGCTCCTGCTTGTTGCCCACAAAGATATGCTCTTCTTCTCCGCTTGCATTTCCCTGCCCTCATTGTGGTCAGACAATTATTGATATAAGATATACAGTAATATATAATGATGATCTGAGCTGTTGTACACAATATTTCTATGAACTTAAAAAGTTTATACAGTCTATTATTGTGTTAATCTATAAACACTAGATATCTATTATTCACTTTGGTTGGGAGCTGTTGTAACCACTTCAATTTCCTCTAAAGCAGGACATACACTGCACGACTTTACAAATGTTCTTGTTAAATTTCCCCTCACACTGTACAAGTAAATTGAGATTTATGTGCTCACGCTGTACATTGCCGTCGGCTCCTCCAGGCCTGCTTCAGACAGTTTTGTAGAGTCAAAGTTTATTTGAAAGGGAGAAACATGCTGCCTCGATCATATGTGTCAAACTGTCCAAATAGAGATGCGTCAGCTTATTGCCATGCAGGTGGTTTGGAAGATGTGGGCATCAAAGGTGCAGATGGTTGACACG